GGGCTTTCAAGCTCTTTTTTTTATAGATGCGACGGAATTATCAAAATTCACATACCGCGAAGAGAATCTATTTGTTTATAAGTTCAAAATTTTCAAAAAATTCTAAAAGTTGTTTAAAATAAAAAAAAATGCATTTCACTGATTTCATACGATACTTCCAACATTCATGTATAAAAAATTCGGGACCAATGAGAAAATCTTCGTTTAGCATTGGCAATATTGAAAAGGTAAGGGTGAATTCTCCATTAACAAATAAATTGTGCAAAAACTAATGAACGGACGGGGCGCGGGTTTTGCACACTAATTAAATATACCTTAAACTATCCAATCCCGGATTTTCATCAACGACAGTTTTTAATATCAATTATAGCTACTCAAAAAATGACCCTGTTTTTCTCTAGTTTTTGCAATTTTGCAACGTAAATATTGTATGCGCACAATTTTAACTACCTGTATCTTCTAGAGAATTTCATAACAAATAAAAAAAGTCCTATACATTTTTGTCCTCAGAGTGTTAATAACGTAGTTAATTCGAGAAATATCAAGAAAAATAGACCATTTTTGGCATTTTCAGTACATTTACCCTTTCCATAAATTTTCCATAGGATTTCACGCGTACGCATATCGATTTTCTCATTTTATGTGTTATGAGGAAGTGATTTCTGCAAAAAAATAATCTACTTCACGTCACATCCAAAACTGTCCACTTTCACTGCTCCACCGACTGGACTATACTAAAACTTCATAAAGTTGTTCCGTTCTTTTATTTTTAAGAAATATCAGTCGTGCAATTTATTAATCTTTTTTTACTTAAGCACATTTTAAATGCTTATTTTATATTATCGCGTATTCCGCCCTCTAGAGTAAACGCCTGAATATACGAGGTTTAATGCTACTAAAGTAATTTATTACTTCGTCTCCACATATTTACTTTTTTTAAAATAAAGTTATAAAACTATAGAAATTTTTTAGACATTTTATTGTCTTAAAATCATTGCAAAAATTAATAAAAATGTAATAGCTGTTATAAATCTTGCGTAATACAATAACAACAATATAATTAATTATTCAGTAATCTATACAAGCTGATAAACAATTTCTTGTTAGAAATGTATGCAAAATGTTTCAATCAATTTGCCCCATTTTCTAATAATAGATTCCTTTTATCTAAAGATCTTAATAATAAAATAAAATCATTTTTTTAAAGGGAAAATCTTGAAAATTAGTTAAAGAATTCAAATTTCGTTCAAACAAAGCAACGAAGCAGATTCTAATTTTAAATGTGACGTAATTCTGTATGCAGTGATATCGAAACCACTTCTTAACTGTTTCACTTATCTTTCTAACTAATTCATTTGCTATGTTCGCTAATAATATTAGCAAAAACAGAAATATTATATACGCGTAATACTGGTAACGCAAGTGTTGCATAATATTGACTCTACAACGCGAAGCGTATTAAAATCTCGAGGTTGTTGCATATCAAATATATTAAAAACGATTAATATTCTTCGTGTAACAAAATAAAACTATTCTATATTAATCGATGAATTGATTTTTTTTTTTAAGGCAGCTTTATTGCATAACGTCTCTATCGTGCTTGAATTAATATGCAAGCTTTTTCAACAATCTGATTACTTAATTTCAATTTAAAAATTATTACAATCTCAATATTTTAGTTATAACACTTATAACAGTTTCGAATCGGAAACTGAATTATGCTGATAGAAACGTTCCATAAGTGACGCGATATGTTTGGAATACGCTTTATATTAAGAACGCCAATCTATAAATAGCAATCCGTATTTAGAAACGAAAACCGATCATCCTTCAGGAATTTTAGCTTATCAATATTAATAACTGAAACTATTGTGTCGATTAATGATCTTTTATTTCAGTGTGGCCTACGCACTCCTCGCTGTGGCCTTCGCCGAGATACGTGAGTAACGTTATAGATTTTAAAGCTTATATGCCACATGGGTACTGCGCTCGGTTGTTTACATATGTTTTTATAATTGAAATAATACTATTGCATAATTGAAATTAAAAGATAGATATATTGAAATTAGAAAATTGATACATCAAGTAATACTGCAAATATAGGAGTACATGTGTTACACGTGTTTGTGTGGTACTAAACAAGATTTTTTATTTTCAAAATAATCTTAAGATGATGTTGCATTTGTAACTAAGATAAGAAATATTCCATTCGTGCGAATATTTGATGCTTTGAAACAATTTTATAAAATTTACATAGATAAAAAATAATTTAAAACAGCAATCTTCAATATGATTAATTGAAGAAGCAAAGAATTACATACAGTCCACGCAATCAAAGTAGAAGTTAATTTGTTTTTGTAAAAAAATTTCCTGTTGCATATTCACTGTTGCATATTTAGTATCGTTCGTATTTATTCGCGAGCGAGTATCGTGAACGGAAATGAATGCCACGTGTTCAATTGATCTTGAACTAATATAATGTAATTGTAGCTGCTCATAAATTAATAATGCAGTTAAAAATAAGATTAAGGACAGTTGTCACGATTGCATGTATAATCATACACTAACATTAAGAAAACGCAAAGTAAAAAACAAAAAAGAGAGAGAGAGAGAAAGAGACAAAGATTTCAGAAGATTATTTTAAATTTAATGTATTTAAAAATTGTAATTTATATCATGTATATTCTATTATAACAAATACATTTTTACGTTTTCGTATATTATATCCTTATATTGTATTTTAGTAAATTACTAATCAACATTAATAAATCGTAAAATAAAATTAAATTTTTATTTTACAATTTCATGTTTGTGTATATAAAAGTGATTTATCTTTTACTTCTAACAAAATGACTAAACACTTTTAATAACAAATACTAACAGAAAACTCTTGATTAATAGTAACTAAGCTTCTATTTTTATTTAGGATATGATAAATGTATACCAATGCTCTTTTAAAAATGACTTCATCCTTCCACATATCAAAGTGTATTAATAGATTTAAAAAGAAATTACATAACAATTTATAAAACAAAAAAAAATAATTTAGACGGGTGATTAAATGTCTCACAATGACCATCAATCTTTGCTAAAGTAAGATTACATGATAAAATAGATCAAACTCACGATTATTAACATTAATATCTCACTCATTTACATTTGCATCGCATTGCAATAATAAAATCACAGGTTTTTGTATATATATATATGTATATAAACTGCGCATCACAGTTCTTGTTCTTGAACTCGTTGCAGCCGGCAATGCCTTTCAAGGCAAACAATATTCAATATATCTACGTGGAAGTATCTAAATCAAGATTAAATTGTAGTACATTTTTTACTCATATTTCCTCTTTCCGTCTAATTATAAGTGTAAATTTTTTACATTAGATAAACGGTGCGCACCTCAATTCTACCTCAACTCTATTCAGACACGTTTTTAATTCCTGAAAACTGATATTACTGAAAACAGCATGTATACTAATAAATAATAAACAGTTAAAAATTCTAGTGTAACTAATAACAATGATTGTGTATTTAATCAAATCCGTGTGGACCCAAATATAAATTTATCTAAAACAGCAATTTTCTAAATATCTCAAATAGCAGCTTTCGAAGCGACGAGCGATTAATTGAATAAGGCTGAGAATTCAATGTAATATATGTCAATAAAATAAAAAAATAGACGTCAATTTACTTGTAAAAAAAATATTTTATATTCTCTGTTATATATTCACGTGAATGTTTACATTTATCCGCAAATGAGTATCATGAACAAAACTGAAAGTCATATATGTATAATATATTCGATCAATCTTGAACTAATCTATAATTAATTGTAACTATAAGTTAATACTGCAATTAAAAGTAAGATTAAAGACAACTGTTAGGATTGCATATATATCTCGTTCTTCATCTCCGTATGAATGTATATTATTCATAAAATTTCCAAATTATTGAAATAATTTTGTATTTTAGAGAAGATTCCGAAATCAAATTTGTTTTGTGTTTTTCACAGCATCATACATAAAAGTATGTAATCGGAAGGATCCAGATATAAATAACTGTGTACTAAATTCAATTGATCAACTGCGAGGCAAATTGAAAACTGGAATTCCGGAATTAGAGGTTCCAGCAATTGAGCCGCTTGTATTGAAGCACGTGCGATTATTGAGAGGTCCTCAAGCTGCAAGGCTTGATGTTAACCTTACAAACATACACGTAACGTATATCAATGCTTATGCTTTTTTATGATTTACAGCATAATTTACAATGTGTGCGTATGTGTAAATATAATCAAAGACGTGGGATGAAAAAATGATGTTATATTATCTTTCTGTAAATTATAAATAATGACATAATTTATTCAACAAACATATAAGCGCATGTATATATGTATAATATTTTTTAATAAAAATTATATTCGTTATTTAATTATATATTCAGATATTTGGACCGTCTACGTTTAAAATCCGAGATTTCAAAATCGACCCGGAAAATGTGTTTATCACTTTCAAAGTCGGCTTTCAAAAGCTCGACTTCCGGGGAAAATATAAAATAAACGCACACATTCTTTTACTCAATCTGATTGGAGAGGGAGGCCTCACTGGATCTTTTCGTAAGTCCTACATTTATTTACAAATCTTTCACGGTTTCTATGTTAAAATATAATGAGCAAACTATTGGCGTGCTCGCAGAAAACAATAATGAGAAAATTTTACAAAAATATATGTCTCTAATTAATAGTTATATATTTTACAGTTGGGTATGATTGCGACTGTTTATTAAAGTCTCACAAAGTCGTTAGAAATAACAACACATATGTACACTTTGAAAAGATGAAATTTGACATCAAGATAAGCAAGACTCTGCTCAACCTTGACAATCTATTTGGCGGCGATCCTATTCTCGGTATGTCACTTACGAAATTTTTAAAATGCATGTTACAGAGTATTATGTCATTATAAGAATATGGTATAATACTCTATAATACATCTTTATCACGAGAAATTTGTAGCAAGTACAGGCGTCATATTTTCATTACAACTGACTTTGCTTTCTTTTAAATCAGGACCAGCGAGTAACGAGGTTTTGAACGCGAACAGCAATTTCTTATTAGACGAGATAAAACCGGTATTGGAAGAATCCTTGTCAGATCTCTTCACGAGGATTGCAAATAAGATCACCGACAGGTTCACATACGATGATTTGTTCCCGAATAATTAATTTTTATTCTGGGAATTTATATTATACATTATTTATAGTTCGATAGATTAATACGATTCTTCTGTTTTTGAAATCGCGAAACTTCCAACCTCATTCGATAAGAATTTTGATGGAATTGTCGTATTTTTGTATAGTTCTTTTTCTTTAAGCGATATTGCATATCTCATAGCACATAGATATGTAACTAATATAATGTACAAACACATATTGCATTTAATCTTTGATGTTAACACGTCGATTGCAGTGCTGAAATTATGACAAGAAAACTTTTGCTGATCTATCTATTAGAAAAATCATGCACTAACATCTTCTCAACACAGTCGATGATGATTAGGAAAACTGCACACATAATTTATAATCCACAATTTTTACAAAAAAATTATTCATAATCCACATTTCTAAAAAGATATTTTAGATATTTAATTTTTAATTTGTTAATTCAATGTTGAAAATAAATAACTTAAAATAATTAAACTTTTTTATTAGGTATAGATTGCATTGCATTAAAAGCGTTGTGATTATGTTATATAATATTTTGTTAGTATTTAATATAGAAAAAGTGTCGAGATCTCCAAAGATTTCGGAAACAAAGTTTTATCAACAGAATGTTTTATAAAATAAAATTTCACAGTTTTAGGAGAAATGTAAATACTTTATAACTTTTATAATATACATTTCTTATAAGACATTAATATTTTTTCATATTTTTACACATACTTACAAATTAATTCTTCAGCTAAAGTTAATTACAAAACTTTTTATATATTTCGAACAATTCTCTCAAAAATACAATACAAAAAAAATAAATTGTCCAATATACGACCTTTTTTCGACACTTTTTCGCATTTTATATATAAGGTGGTTTATTTATAAAAATGAAAATATAAATATAATAAAGATATAAATATCTCGAAAAATATAGAAAATATGGAAAATTGTTTTAGATATCTAAACGTTATACGATATGAAGGGGGGCTAATACAAAATATTTCGTAAACTATTAATTTGTTGATAATTGTACTTTTACTACTTTTTACGTACAGAATGAAATAAATTGATTAGTTTAAAGAAAACACACAGCTCTTTTTCAAAATAAATATGTAGTTGCATATACAAATTGCATATTTTTTTAAAAAGCAACTGTGTATTTTCTTTACATCAATAAATTCAACTCATTATTCTGTGCATAAAAGTATTAAAGTATAATTATCAAGAAATCAATAGTTTACGAGATATTTCATATTTTACATCCTCCCTTCAAATCGTATAACTTTTGTCTAAAACAATTTTCCGTGTCTTCTACATTTTACAAAATATTTATATTTTTCATAAATATACCGTCCTGTATAATCAGTATTTGAAAGTATTTTTAAAAAAAGGTAAATTTGTGAAAAATATTTTATTTTTATAAAAAAAATGAAAATATGAAAAAGTTAAAATTTATGTTGACTGAAAAAGCGATAAATCATAACGCAATAATACACATAAGTAGCTTTAATTGAATAATAACACTTTATTAAATTTTTATATGTATCAAAATTACGTAATGAAATACAAGACAAGCAAAAACTTTAAAATAGTCACAGCATATAAGTTTTTCCCAGAGTTATTAAATCTGATTCTATATCTTTTGATTACGGTAATCACTTTGTTGTTCACTCTACATGAGCGTGAGCAATGGTTTAATAAAACGAATGAATAAAGTAAAAGATGAATCATAACAATAATTAGTTTTACATAACAAATTGGTATCTTCTTGAATTAATATTGACGATATCGTTAATATCGTACTTGTAAAACTATAACTTTTCAAAACATTTACTTTTATTATATTTGTCTTTTCAAAAATAGAGAGAAAGAGAGAGAGAGAGAGAGAGAGAGAGAGAGAGAGAGAGAATTATGAAAGTTGGGAATTATGTTTAAACTAATATAGAAACAAAATTTTATTCTTATAAAAATCGAAAGTGTTTTATACTTGCGATTTAATTGGCTTTGAATGAACGAACGTTAAAACACTTACTTATAATTACAATATTCCTTTTATTGATCATATACAATATATAATCTTTATGTGCAGGATAGTTTTAACTATCATCTAATAAAATTGGATAACAAGCAAATATGTAAAAACAATTTGTCAAATAAACAAGAAACGTCAGCTAATTAACTTATATACATTGTCATATTTTCTTATAATCCTGCTCTACAAAAGAATAAACATTTCAAGGCTTTCCAAATACATAAAATGTAAGTGCAAGAACGTCTCTTTGACAACTGCACAACGTGATTAATTAATCAAATTTTCTTTGGGCACAAAACAACGCTACGTACCTCACCGACTGGCCGGTGAAAATTATCACGATGCGCGATAAAGAAATAGACAAAAACTAAATCAAATCGGCTAATCCTCATGGCTACTATTCGTTTTTCTCTATCCTTTCCTTTTTTACGAAAGGCCATTTACGAAAAACAATCGACCCGAACGAAACTCGATCACTTAAGAATTAGGGGACGAGTTCTTGTTTGGTGAGAACACTGAGTGCTCGAGTGGCTAGAGCTTTGCTCACGGTCGCGGCTGTATCCTCGATAATTGGACTGGCTATATCCAAGACTAGGCGGGGATTCGAGTTGAAGAACGTCGCGGCGGCGTCGGCTAAAATACAGGAGTATTGTATTGAATATGTATACCTCTTACGCAACTTACTGTTGAACGTTAAAATTTTAGACACGACTTAATCCGTACCGGTTAGCGTGTGTGTAGGTGGTGATTTTAATGTAATCTTTCCATTACCAACACGGATTTTAGCAACTAACTTGTCAATCTCGAGCCTTTGCACGCCGTTTTTATCAATAGTTTCCTTGGCTTGCGCGTTTACTTGGGCCTCAGTGTCAGCTGGAATAAAAAAATGACTATAAAGAACGATTTTTTTAAAAGATTGTAACACATTAAATAACTGGCATCCAATTATTTTTATATCGCAATATCGGTTATTACTTTAATCATCCAAACTGTATTTATAAGATAGTTAAATATTAAACGCAACAAACTTTTTACATATTATATGTATACTTATATTTACAATATATATATTAAAATATTTATATCATTGATCATTATATTCCCAATTTTGTTTTAGGAACTTACTGAAATTTCCTTTAAAGTTACCAGCACCGTTTAGAGGCAGCAACAACAGTCTTCCCTGAACGTCATAATCGCCGACTACATACATATGAGGCATTCGAGCCTTGATGGAAATCGTTAAGTCATTGGGATTCGCTTTGAGATCCTGCACGATGTAATTCGTGCCGCCGTAAACGCGAATCTGGCTCATGTTAGCCTTGATTTTCAAGGATTCTAGGTTTCTATCTATAGTCAAGGATGGCAGAAACAAAGGATCTAAAGCTGGTAGTTTCAAAGAAGGTACTCCCTTAGCGAGATACGGAGTGAGCGCTTGTAACTGCGTTAAAACGCACTTGTTGTATTCCGACGGGTTGTTTGTACGTGGGCATGACGTTACTCCGGGAGCTGAAAACATCGACTGCATATTAATGCTGATAAGTATAATAATGTAGTATAAAAAAAATTATCTATTTATATTAATAATTTGTTGCAGTAAAGAGTTAGGCATCAAATTGATAGGAGAAATTAGTCTATTAATTTTATGTATTATACTTTCTCCAATCTGCAAACTTTAAGAATAGCGAAATTAAAATTAATATTTATAAAAAATGTTACAATTATATATACTTTTTTTAAAGATTATTTGGACATCTACATGCATATTTCAAATCCACCTGTTTTATATATTTAAATCGACTTAAAATTTATTTCAAATAAATTTTTATATTTGTCTTTTTCATAGATAAAGAGATGGTTACGATATATAAAATCGCGTATAAAATATAAAGGGATTAATATAAAAGTTATATTTAAAACATTTGAGATATAAAATAGAAAGTATATTTCGTATTTTTAATTCTTCGTAAACTGCACACGATTAAAACGTATGTAGTTAAGGAAACGGCATTCATTGATAAAGATAAAACACATTATTAAATTGTTTCCAATTACGCACATTCCTTTGCTTAGAAGTTATTAAAAAATCTTTGATTTAATTTTACAAAACTAATATATATTATATGCAACAGCTCAATAACAGCGTTACGCAGAGTTAAACTGGGCTACAGATTTTTGCAGGTTTGCAGGTTGCAGAGTTTTTCATTGTGCTTGTTTCCAAGATGCCGTATTGTTGTGAAAGATAGTCATTAGGCGCCTTTAAATGAGCAAACGCAGGCATTGCACCCTGTTGCAACGTCGGTTGAGCGAACGCGATAATGGTATAAGAACTCGGCGATGACTAAGTGAGCGGCTTTTTTCCGGCCAATCGGTCAGGCCTAAAATCGAAAGTGCACGGTAGAAAGTGAAATTACGAAGCCGGCGGGCGAATGAGTATTTCCCTTTTTATTAGTGCTTAATATGTGATAAATTCGCGTAGGTTCACGTGAGTAAGCGTCGAAAGAAAGCACGCGTGAGCAATCGAAAAAGGATCTACAAGCGAATAGATCACTATTTTTGAATAATACATGTAGAAAAAAAGTCAGTTGTAAAAATTCGAAAAAATTTAATGTAAAATTGTCTTAATTTTGAGAAAAAAGAAACAAATTATATATCTCTTATTATTTCTCTAATAAATGTAGACTTATATTAATTCTTAATTGAATTTGATATATGCGCGCGTTATAAAATATGAAATTCTTTTTAATAAAAATCCTACACTTTTTATATTCGACGAGTTAATTATATCGCTGTGCTTCGTTGATTGCGTTCAATAAATATTAATTCTATTTCTTTTTCCGATGTTACAAATTGCGAATTGGAAGAACATTAATTCGCGAAGGAGTTCGTGGATTGTTTGTAAAACTACGAGAGAACGTTCGTGTTCTTGGGACGCTCAGTTCGAAAGATGTTAATGATAGTCATAAACTCTGGTGGACAAGAAAAAAGTGAAATAACAACGTCGCGTTTCTCTCGCCAAGAACAAGAACGTGTTTGCGATTGTATCGCTTTACACGCGCGAGTTTGAGCGGTGACAAGAAAGCCATTATACACGAGTAAAAGTGCAAAATTAAATTGCAGATTACATTGTCCCGCGTACGCCGGTAACGTAAAAGTAAACGACAGTATCGTTCCACGTAGCGAGCATACCCGTTCGATTTTTCCTCGATAACGTGCTTCTTCCGGGTTTTCTATTGATTTCTCAATGACGGCCCGGCACACTTTTATGAATCATACGTACGCCGCGCATGTAAGTACATTACATGAGGAAATTGCGAAAGAAGAAGAGATAATTGTGCATACAAGATGCGTCAACACTTGGCGCGTAAACTCCTACTTCCGATGAGACAAATGCATCTGCAGTACACCTGGACATTTATGTCATTTATAGGCACTTTATCTAAATTAGTTACTCGTATACAATATCACTCTTAAAACAACTACAAAAAAAGGTGTTTGTGATCAAGACTATGTGTCATATATCGATCATACCTGTTCCGTTAAAACAAGTTTATTTGTTATTAAAACAGTGACTTAGTAGTTTACGATCACACGTGTGTCTTATACATGATACGCATGTATAAGATGTAGTCTCAGATTCTTTTTTAATTGCGTTTATTAGATATAATTGTAGAGAGATCTTGTTTAAGTCAGTGATATCTGAATAAATGCTTTCTTGCAACGTGGTTTAATTACTGCAGCAATCTTATTTTTTTGCGTAATACGCTGCATGAGTCGTAAAATCTCGCTCTGCAAAAACTCTCGAATTACGAACATTTGAATTAACTGACTGATTTCTCAAAATGAAACAATTAAAAACACATTTACCTCTCATGTAAACGAGATGCCAATGAATGGTGAAATTGAGAAAAGGAGGATAATTTTATATAAAAATAAAACAAGTATGTATAGCCAATGAATTATTTGACCAATTTTTTGTCTCGGTATTCTCTATTCTATATATATATATATATATTATACGTAAAGTAATAATTGTTCTTTTAACAGAAGACGACAACGAGACGTTGAAAGAAACTTACGCAGCTGCGACACGGCGCTCCCGGCACACACGGCGAACAGTACGAGCCCGATCAACATCATCCTGCCGATGATTCTGCGTGCGTGACCGCGGCGTATTTCGGCTGTATTTTCTATTGTCACAAGAAGATTGCGCGCGTGCTCGCAATTAGCTACGACAGTATCGAAAATGCGTACGATGGCCCCGTGGCGCGGGTATATATAAAGTAAAGCGCACTTTCTCCGGCTATATGCTACCCCACTCGGGCGGCAATGTCGAAGGCGCGATGGTGAATTTATCACGGTAGAATGCCTCCTCTTAACTCAGTCAGGGCCGTAGCCAAGCTTGACACACGCGTACACACATGACATGCACGTGCACGTGACCATCGTACACGCGGTTTGCACGCATCCGCCGGAATTACGGGAGTACCCCGAGCATTGCAATCTCGCGACATTTGCGCGTGACGACGACGCGGGGACGCGCGCGCGGTCCTTTACACGATGCCCAAGGATGAAGACAAGGCGCGGTCCGCGCGGCGGTTTACGCGTCGCGGTTCTAAGGCGGGATCATTGGCTTTCGAAATGCCGTCGTTGCTACGGCAATTCGCCTGTCATTTCTTTATTCTGCATACGCATGACTGACAGCATCCATGCGAAGGAAACTTCGCGATGTAATGCGCGGAATTATTTCAATCTGAGGCGACGAAGCTGTTTTTTATTAGATCAAGAATACCAATCCCCTTTCCGACGGAACTTATCGTTCTTCTTCTCTTAACTGGGGACTATCAACTTCTTGTTTAATGCATCAAGCTTCAATAATAATCGGCATCTCTTTATCAAATATTTAAGAATCGACGACATTTTTATACAATATAATTTTTGTATTTTCATATACAAGATGTTGAAGAAAGAGTTCAAGACTTAGGGGATCATGAATAATTCTCAAACCTAAAAGATGTTTAGTCGTTATTATACCTAAAATGCTCTTTATATCTTGAATCGTTTTATATTTTTAACATTCTACGCAATTATGAAATATTGCGCATATTTATAAATGCGCATTTTATCTATTTGACCATCGTTTCAGTTAGTTAAATTCATTTGCAAGCAAAATTTATTCTATTCGGTAAATGCTGAGCAATTCGATATAATACTGTCGGTTGTGCAGCAACGTATCAATATATAATTATCCGATATCTTTAGTTTTGCATAAAATTGCATTAAAGTATAGGAAAATCCTGCTTACGTCCGCATTGTTAGACACGAAAGCATAGCGAGTAAACCAATCTGAATTACGTAACTGAATTACATACAGATGCATAATAATATGGGGTAATATATGTATGTGGTAAGCATTACATATGTATAATAAGATTAGAGTTACAACCCAATACGAAAGACAGGTACAAAGTTACATACGAAGATTACGATACCGATGCTGGAAAATGTCAACAAGGACTTTCAGGTCGTAGGCCAGGGCTGCGATCTGCGGGCACACGTCCTTTATGGAACACGAAGAAGTTACTCAATTGTCGTACCATAAAATTTCCCTGAGATCTTTCTCTCTCTCTCTCTCTCTCTCTCCAGTTTGCTGTCGGCAACTGTTTATACTCCCAATCGGATTGACTTACAATTGACTTCAGCGGGCGATTAATTCCTCATTACCTATATATGTACAATCTTGGGACGTGCAAATATGTAGTTGGTAATTTCAACGCACGCGATTGTCGTCGATGAATCGTTCTCCTTTCCGCGTTTCTCGCTAACCATTTGCGTTTTTTTTTTCTCTCATTCCTAGCAATTGCTATAATTGCCAAGGCAGCCAGCTAAGATTCTCGATAATCATCCTCGCGGCTGTGCAAATATACTTATTAAGTCAAATCTTCGTTCCTCCTTTATCTTACCAGCTTGAGTAATGTTTCAAAAATAACTCTTGTTTTGGGAAACAGGCTAATGTAGGTAACAAATGAACAAACAAGAAAGTAAAATAAATGAGAGAGAATGAGAGAGAAACACGAATGCTGAATGATTAAAATCACGGCAAGGTTGAATCAGGCAAGATTGATTGAACCAGATTAGCGATAGTCTTTTTTATTCTTTCATTATTAAGACTATAATAGATTCGCATCAGTTTCTTGTCTTCTGTTTCTAGATAAAACGATTATACATATATGTGCAACACAAGAAAAACTCACATGTGGCCTTGAAGTACAAAATAATTTTCCACACAGCTATTAAAGTCAAGACTCAAGAATGATATTGCTATCTGAGTTTTTTGTCATATGTGACAATTATATGTAAAAAATATTGAATTCTTTTTTAAATGATGTATAATATAGGAAAGAATGTTCAAAAATTCTCTTCGCCTTTGCTGTTACAACTTATTTTATTAACATGTTATTGATTAAGTCAATAAAATTAAAATACCATTTCATAAAATATGATTTCTTTAATTTGATAAATATATCTTTTATACACAATAGATAAATAAATAGGTATTAATAAATAAATTTGCATAAAAAATTGTGCAAATAGTAAATGCATGATAAGCACAATTAGCGTCAATAGCAATTTATAAATATGTAGATGATATCTAAATAAAATATAATAAATTTAAGAAATATAATAAACGTTTTAACCCGTAAAGGCTACGTCTCTTTTGAATGGTTTTGTTTAAAAGTGTTTATCAGTCACGAAGTTTTGAAAACAATTACGTTCTTTTTTTCGAAAATTTAATATTACCAATCGAATGATCAGAAAATTTTATATTTTGAAAAACACACATTTTGCTTTAATTTTGCTTTTCAGAAGATATAAAACTTCAAAAAGGCTTGGTGCAAATTCGCACCCAGGTGTCCTTTACGGGTTAAAATACGGTAAATAAAGTGGCAAGATAAATTTCTAAGTAAGGAAATAAGAGATAAAAAAATAAATTTACATGAAACATGATTGACGAGCAGAAAGACAACGTGGAGTTCTCGATCGCCTCGAGCGACCGAACGGACTGATTAATTGACTGGTAAATCCTTATACATCCTGTAGATCAGCGCGTCGGCCGTTCTCTCGCTGAGCCCCTTGGTCGCGAAGTCGTCGGCGAGCATCGCGGCGACTGCCTCCGCAGCCATTAAACCTGAAGGAGAAGGAGACGATGGAAGAGGAGAAGGAGAAAAGCCAACGAGAGAATGAGAAATTAACCGAGTTAATGTCGCGCGGGATCGTTTCGTTACGAGTCTCGTTCGATTGCGTTCGCAAGAAAGCGAGGACTTTTACTCGAGTGTGCCGGCGTATACCTTACGCGCGGTCGCGATCGGCTCCGACAATCCGCGACCGTTGATTGTCACGACGTTTCGTATATACATAATATAGGTATCCGTATTCCGTTCTCGGTTTCCCCGTATTCCCGAGGCAGAAACAAAACGTGTACGTAACATTTTTTAATGTGGGACACACACGCGAAATCTTCCTCCTCCCTCTATATATGCATATATATACTGCTTATGGTAATTGACAACGGCGCGCAGGATATGACCTGCAGTGCTCGATAAGCAGTACATCGTCATATCGCGGATCGGCTTATTTACGTTACTTTCCAAGAAAGAATTCGGCTTTTCATTCTGCCAAGTAATTACGGAGGAATCGCGTCACGCAAAAGAGACAACACGTGACTGCATAATCAGCAAGACCGGTTTTTATTTTGATAGCAGTTGACAGCTGATCATTTATAATTTATGATTTATGACTATATTTTTCTTCCCTAAAAGTGGGAAGTGCGCTGGCAGCTCATTTATTTCCGGAAAGAAGCAAATATTAAGATTTCCAAAAGAAACAATAAAATTCTATCGCGAGGTCGCAAAAGTCGACGCATCGATATTCCAATCGACGTCGCATCTATATTTAAATTAAGCTCGTACTTACCGTGACTGAGAATAGCTTGCACCGGACCCTCCTCGTTCATACCTTGAAGATTGATTTTCTTATCTTTCACAGACAGCTTCGCTCTAGCACTACGAACTATCAATTCCTCGTTGATCTTCTTCAGTTCCAGCGTAAAGTCGCCCACTACATCGGCTGTTGTAAGGCAAATGGAAATGTATGTATATATATATATAGCTTTTCATCATTGTCAAAGCGCAAACGCGAATGCATTTTCTTACTAAAGTTCCCGGCAAGCAGACCGTTCCCACGTAACGTCTCCTTCCCTACTTTTCCCATGAGCGTGTATTGAGACTTCACGCGAAGCAGCGGGACGCGTATTCTCAAAATCACATTCATCACGTCGTCCTAAAAATGTTTCCAGGCATAAAAGTGAATCATTCTCGTCATTATAGGGAAATTTATTAGTTGAAAAAAGCTTTTTCAAACGATTCGAATTTCTTGCGCGAATCGAGGACGTTTAAATAATCTTACTTCGGATGTCTCTTCGGGATGCGCTCGTTTCGTTCTTTTGGTGTCACTGAAATTCTGAGAGGCGCTATCATTTTTTACGTCCGTTCCGTAATGATATATCAATTGCATCCCTTCCTCGAAGTACCCTTGCTGCTCCTGATAGTTTCTCGCATATCTGATCAGGTCCTTCAACCTTTTGGCTTCCAACGCAGCTTTGACTATGTCGTTTCTCTTTCGTAAGGCTTCACCTTCCGTAAAATTGTAGATAATAAATTTTGTATTCTCCCGAATATTCTGTAATGTATAAATTTGTATATATATATATATATATATATATATATATATAATCAAAACATCTTACAAATTATATAAAAACCTTCAAAAATATTAATACAATTTTATATGATGTTTAGCACAATAATTTAGAAAAGATATCGTAAATTAAGGAAAACAAATCTTATAAACACCTTCATGACGTCCTCGATACCGTATACTCGTCGATTTTCATTGGGATTGGCACCCAGATTACCGAAACGCTTTACGCTGCCATTAGTTTTATCGTCTACCATGTAGACGATGTCGATGTAACCCGATTGTTCCCTCATTCCATTTCTCGGCGATTTAACTTTGCCGGAAGATGCAACGTTCGATCGCCGCGACTGTTCTCTATTATACAACGCAGGCGGTCTTACATCACCCTGATTTTTCAATCTAGTCTCGACTGTTTCCGACGCGGAAACCTGTTTCAGTAAATTTTGTGGTTTGAAAGTGATATTGCTTATTAATTACGTTTTATTAAAATATGTGTAAATTACGTAAAAAATATTATATAACGCGGATATAAATAATATTATGATATATAATTAATATTTTGCTATTTATATTATAGGAAAGAATTAATTGATTTAATTAATTTAATTTTAAAATATTATTATATAATAAAATGATTTCTTAAACCTCAGTATCCCGTCCTCCGTAATATCCTACATTGGCACCTTGTTGATCGTATCGTCGGTTGCCTTGATTTTCTCTAAACTGAGAGATCTTTGTATCGTCGACACAATCGATTATGTCTCCACTATTCTGTGGACTTGCGTGATAGCCTTGAAAACCTCTCTGCGCGTAAACAGGCTGAACATAGGCCGGCAGCTTTATAGAACTTTCGGTATTTGAACTTTCAGAATTCTCAAAGTTGCCTGTTGATCTCAAATTGCCTCTATAAAAACCATCGGACGTGACGTCAGGACGGAAAGGAATCCGTTGGTCGTGCTGCCGATTTTGCTCGAACGTCCTGTCGCGTTGATCTTGCTGCAACCGATCGAAGCGAGCATTCTGATATCGCGAGGAGGGCCTTACGTCAGCAGCTCGATTCACAGGTGAAACGACGGCTTCGAAACTCTCCCTGGGCACACTGGGCTCCCTCGCCTTAGTGTGGAACCTGTATCTGACAGAATCCACATCCCTGAGATCGCTGTAGCTCACGTATCCGGCCTCGAGTTCGCTCAGATTGGACTTCGGTCCGCCACGACTTATGTGGATGTTCTCCAAGACCGATCCGTTGAGACCGACGATCTCCAAGTTCCTCAGGATCACTCTGTAATTGGCGTCGCCCTCGGACTGATCGACCTTGATCAGCGGCACTCTCAACGGGTCCAGTCTGCCTATTTTCGCAATGCCTCCGGACACCGTCTTGTTCCAGAGCATCCGGGACATCTCCAGCAACGCGCATCTCGTCAAAGTCGTCGTCGCGGCGAGCACCAGAAGCATCAGAAGGACACCTCGCTGCGTCGATTCACCCATCTCGTCGCAGTCGACGATCTTATGCCAGATTTCGAATTTCAAGAAATCGTCGAATAAAGATGCCGAAAATTTCAGTCGTGTATCCTATTACAGCTGTCGAGTCGAACGGGAGAGGTACCGCGGACTCTTCAATAAGATACGTCGATTTCCCAAATGTAAATCGGTTTGTAAATCAACACCAGTATGATACCGATAACGACAAATATCAATAGAAAGCACACGGCGATCGTGCACATTGGCATGCGATTCAACATACGTTGCGTTCCGTCAGTTTCTTACGCGCGATTTTAGATAACATCTCGAAAGTAAACGATGATTTATTGGGAACTAATAGTCTCTCGAGAAGGACCCCGGCGATCGCGCACAAACGTGGAGGGCTGTGGTCTGCAAGACGGCGACACGACCGCTGGAGGTTTTTATAGTTGGTCATGGAAGGGCATAGAGGATCTGGGCCATGGACCAGTCTTATATGATGCTAGCTAAGTGGCTCTTAGTCAGACATCGATACATTTTCTTCGACAGTGTGCACGACATTTCCTTAAATTCCTTCATTACGCGATGATGTAATGGAGAGCAAGGTCCTTTCGGACGACCTCCCGTCGACAGACAGACCGCGGATAGTTATAGATAAAAATCCAAATTTCAAGCAAATATATTTCTTACAGTCGAACCTCGATAACTCTGATCTGAAGAGACCAGAAAAACTGCTCGAGTTTTAGAGTTTTCGACTTATCGAAATTCAAGTAAAAGAGGGTTAACATATGAAAATTCGTATATAGCCGCAACTTCGAATTATAGAGGTAGCGACAATGAAAGTTCAACTTATAAAGGTGAACTTCGACTTGTAAAGGTCTGGCTACTTTAAATTCGAGTTACAGAGGTAAAATATATATCTAAATGCCTGACAAATAATTCGAGTTAAGATAGGTTTTATTTCGTTTTATAGAGGTTTTCCGCAGCGGAGCGGAAGGGGATAAACAAAATTTTCGTCTTATAGAGGCTTTCGAGTTGTAGAGGTTCGAGTTATCGAGGTTCCATTGTATAAAGAAAGTACAATTGGACATAAATTTAACTGTGCCACGAGGAACAATATCGTTTCATGTCGAATAAGCATATTGACTCATCGTAAGATTTGTAAAAAGGGGCAGTGTGAGGACAATCGCCTAATCAGCGCATTGCGATGATCGCAATGAAATTCGCTCAGTGACACTTCGACGTACCGACAAAGTTATTCTACGTATGGAACTCATCGTAACCACAATGCATACCAGAAGCGCGCACATATTTGCATTTTTGTTTATAACAACTGCATTTGTCGCAGTGAGAACTCGTGATATACGTAAGTTAATATCAACTGTATTACAAAATAGTTCATTTAAACACGTAATGTATATCTATTTTTATTCATATACGACTATTATTCTTGGATATGTGAGTATAGTAAAGTTTTCAACCATTTTTGATAAGAATATCTGTAATTGAAAAATGTAATAACTTCTTTTACATTCTTTATAAAGAAATTATTTTTACAATTTCATTTTTATTCTATTTAAAATATAGGAAGAACTATAGAAAGTGTTAGAAATTGATGGACGTTTATGAATTTGCAATTAATTTATTTTTTTGTATAGATATTGATTTTGCAATCTATATCTTTTTAAGCATGGAAATATAATTTGATATTTATATTTATATTTTTTTGTAATTGATTGTATATTATTTATATTTTCTTGTAATTAAATGAATCGCGTAAAAACTAAAACGTTGAGCAAAAACACATTTTTATGAAAAAGTTATATTGTTTTTAAGTACGAGATTTACTTTATATATTAGAGCATTTCATGAAACTAATAGTTTTATAATTCGATATTTCGTACGTAACAATTTGTAAAACGCAATACCGGATAGTCTCAAGTTTTTATTGAGCTTTTCAAAGGTTTATATATTTAGAATCAAATGTTAAATAACACTTAATTGTTAAGTTATTAATATTATATACATAAAACATTATTTCAATCGTAACGTTTACGAGAAAGAATTGCAAATCGCATAACATTCTTTTTTTTTAGCACCGTTTCTGAAGATATGCCATCGCAGTGATCCAAATCTGAACGAATGTATAAAGCGAAGCATCGACTTGTTAAGGCCTTATCTGAAGACGGGCATTTCAGCATTGCAAATACCGTCTTGTGAGCCACTTCGCGTGCCGCGGATTGAAATTAGCCAGTCAGCCGGTCCAATTTCCATCAGATCGACGTATACCGATATCGAGGTTCAAGGTGGAACGAGTTTCATCTTAAAGAGCATCAAGTACGTAAGTCCCGAGCAACAGACGGATTAAAAAACGTGTTAAAAAATCATCCATCGAAAATCCAATACTTGAAAAAATATTTTTTCACCTAAAACTATATATATCGAATCGTTAAAACAACTTTTATCATTGTAAAAAATTATTACACGTGAACTATTATTTTGAATCGTCTTTTTTAGGACCGATATCGATAACGATCGCGTCAGGTTGAAACTGTACCTGCCACGCCTTGAGATGAACGCGCGCTACAATATGGAAGGAAAGATTTTGATGCTGCCTATAAGCGGGAACGGATTGGCACGTGGAAATTTTACAGACATTGACGTTATAGCCATCGTCCAAGGCGAACGTTATCAGTCTAAAAAAACCGGTGAGACTCATTATCGTGTTATCGACTTCTACGCAGATATCGACGTTGGACATGCCAACATCCATCTGGACAATTTGTTCAACGGCGACAGTACCCTATCTAACGCCATGAACCTCTTCTTAAACAACAACTGGAAGATCGTCGCGGCCGAAGTTAAGCCAGCCCTCGAAAACGCCGTTTCGGAGATCTTTAAGACGTTCTCGAATAAGATTTACTCGAAATTCCCATTCGACACATTGCTGCCACCTTAAGTGCATTACCTCTTCTGCATTCGTTCTTTGTTATACGTGTAACTGATCCGTTTGCGTAGCGTCAGCTGTCATAGTAAATATGCTAAAGTCTAGGTACGCAATTTTAACTGAATGCGTAATTTTAACCTTTTAAACCGGGAATGTAGTTTATATAACCTTGCGTAGCGTTAGGCACGTAAACCGATACACGTTTTCTCAGTTAGCACGTCAGCAAACAACGTCGGCATTTTAAATTCAATTCCACATGCTGGAAATAAAGTGTAAAAATGTGACGCATTCAAAACATTCATTTGCAGAGACTTGTACATAGCTTCATGGCCTCAAATAAAGATGCCGGCCTCAAAAATGCAATAATTCATAATAATTTATTTATTAAATGCGTAATTAAAAAATTAATATTTCCATAAAAGAAAAATTAAATAAAAAAAATTCTGTTATTATTTATTAGCTTCTCTAGAAGTCTAGAAAGTCTATTTTGAAAATCATAGAATTAAATAACTTTTAAGTTTACATTTCTGTAAGTAACGAAAGTATTCTCTATCATTTTATTTATTTTTTAGAATTTCTTCCTGACACTTGTAACTTAACAATATTTTTCGAATAAACGAATATCAATAAAATTTATAATTCTAGATACTTGTACCTCTTCTATATTACATACAGACGATCCGCACACGTGGTTTTAGATGAGTTAAAAGTTTTAGACTCCTTCAAACTGTTGACCATCCTTACAGCCGAGTGTATTCGAAGAACATCTCTTAGGCTGTTGAGAATATAGAAAGTCTTTTGAACGATATATGTCCGCTTTTAAAGACAACGCGTAAAATCAAATCAAATTTTATTGTTTTTTTTTACGATACCAATTATAGTTTCACTTGTATCCAGTACGTTGGATTCATTTTGTCACAACCACTATGATGAAAATCGTGCATCATTAGCGCGACAAGTACTGAAGGTTGATTACTACTACATGAATAATTTTATTCGCATGAAGGACAAACTTGATATTTTGATTTGAGCACGATACACATGTTCCTTTACACAAATATTGTAATTTTGCATCGCCTAAAATACAAGAATTAAATTTAAAAGTACACCTAAAAGTTATACTGTTTCTAAATAATAATTAAGATATATAATTGCAAAAATTATAATAAAAAATTAAATTTTACTTTAATTTTTACATTTTAATATAATGTTGTATGCACAATTACTATGCATAAACAACAATGTCTAAGCTGCAAAAATAAATAATAGGTTTTCAATAAATATGAAAATAATTTGCATATTTATTGATTTGTTATCTAAAAAGAAGCATGACATCGATAACTTTCATCTCTCGAAAAAAATTATTGTCGCTTTTCCGCGATGCTGATTGGTTGTCTCGCTGCGTTAACTTCTTATAAGCGGCTGTGTCATTGTATTTTGACAGTTGTGTATATTGAAGTTGATGTTATTGTAATGTAAATTATATAAGAAGTGTTAAATAGCGCGTACGAAGCGCGCGTTTGTAATGCTAGTATTTAAAAAACTAAAGAGAATATTCTTATTATAGGCCTTGTACATGTAATCCAATAGTATATTCAAAATAATTTTATAAAAATCTACAATGCAATATATTAATTATATATTAATATATCTCCTTTCGCATGTTAAAATTTAAGGCCGGTCTACATAAGTCGCAACATACAAAACGTAATTCGCAAACGCAGAAAAAAAGAAAGAAACGTCAAAAAAAAGAAAGAAACGTTATCTTGCGTCCGCGTTTGCGTGTTGCGACTTATGTAGACCGGCCTTTAATCCTAGTAAAAATAATTATTTATTCCGCATTATTTGTTCTGAGTTTAAAATGAACTACTAGTGCAGTAAAAACATTACTAAAATGTAATTGTGTCACTGCTATATCAGCAATTCCACTACTACATTTCAGTAATTTTTTTACTGCACTAGTAGTTCATTTTAAACTCAGAACAAATAATGCGCGCGTAGCGCATAAATTATTTGATTAAGAAAATAACAATTGTTTTTTTCCAAACAAGTACAACTCTTGTTCTTACAAGCTTGCAATTGCGTACAGAGATTCCTTATACAGAAGCTACATCCAGCATTTTCGATCTTTCCCACTGCAATTCTGTCGACAGTCTTCTCTCTTACAATGTAATTGTGAAATCTCGTCGCAATCTTTTTAAAGATCGTTCCACTTACTTCACGCTTAATTATTGTTTATGTGATGCTTACCTTGCAGTAAAACATGCAATATAGAAAGGATTCTAATTAGTATTAAATAGCTAACATTAATTAATATACAATTTTTTTCGAATGTGTCAATTGAGGTAATAATTAATGCTAATAATAGTAATAAATTTATCTAACCAGATTTCTAATTTATATTTCCTTATATTCACTATTATTCATTGATATTCAATTCATTCATATTATAATAATATTAATTTCCGACTGATGTGTTGCCAGAGCAAATAATATCGGCAAACTGGTTTACATTGCATCCCCTGACTTGTTTCAGAAGGTAAGTAACATTTAACCATTTTTTTTTTGTTATAAAAATACTCGATGTGAACGGATTTTTGTATACCGCAAGGTAAGATGAGGGATAATTGCCGCGACGTCGAGGTGAACTTGGTTGTCCACTATGCAAAACTTTTACAAGCACGCATTTCAAGTTATCTGTCCGACATGTTATTGTCCGTATGTTGCGCACGACCCAAGAAACGCAGATCGGGTTCCTCGGAGGACAAATCCGAGGAGACAATGGAACATTAAATGGTCATGGCCGATCAAATTTGCTATCGATTATCACAATGCCAGTTTCATTGATTTCTTTCGTTATTTTAACATTCAACACCTATTACTTCCGATAAATTTAAAATCCACTTAAAAATAAATTCAATTAAATTAAAAATATTAACTAAGAAAGAAATTATTCTTGAATTATCCACACTTATTCAAAAACTGATAATAATCTTGTCGTCAGAATTATAAAATATATTTAAAAATAGCTAAAGTATATATAATAAAAAATATCATAACCGTAAATCTTGGTTTAGGTTGCTTTATAATTTCAGATTATAAAATAAAATTCCGTAATCAATATAAAAATATGAAATACTGTTTAATTATATTCGATAGGTATTAAGTACTATAATATTTTTTTATTGATTTGTAAATAGGAAATTAAACAATTTTACAACATAGCATTATGGTTTGTTTTATTTTTTAAACCGGAAAAGGTACGAAAAATTGTGAAAACAAGCAAAAACAATAAGAACGTGTAAATTATTAGACTATGAAAGTATGAAAAATTGTGAAAATAGCCTTACAAAAATAATAAGACTGTGGAAGTCTAATGTAATCAAATGTCATTGTGTGAAAGGCAAGCGATAAAAGTCATGAAGATCCATGATGCTGTTTTTCTCAGAGAATTTTTCGATCATAAACACGGAGTTTCAACAACAATAACGTATCACGATTGTTGCGATTGTCGCAACCTTATGCAAATTTTGTTGTGTGCAGCCGGCTCGTAGAACATCGGTCCAGGGCGCATTGTCATGGCTGCAGATGTGGAAAGAGGTGATCGCGACGGTTGGCTTCTTAAAGTCGGCAGGCAGGTAGTGGGTACCCTCCAGAGAGGTAGGGGAACCACCGCGCATATAAGACAGGATATGAAGGGGTCCCGTCTTTAGTTTATCATAAAGTAGCCGTACAACTCTGTTGGTAGGAACCTTCGATTCTCGTTTGCATTGAATCCTTTCCTCGCATCGGTCGTCCCTTTCGCGAGTCCCATCGACGTCGTAACGATTATTTCTCCGTACGACCTTCGAAGAGCTGCCGGAAGCGAGTAGTTATTCGGGGGAGTCCCGCCGGAAGAGTTCAAGTTATAAAAGTCTCGTTGAAACGCCCCTTGCGAGGGACAATCGATCGACACGGCGCGAACGCTAAGGATCTCTGCTCGTATTTTTACAGACGTAAGGACGAGAAAGTGAAGGAGTGTGTCGTGTTTCTCGACAAGAGAGAGATACCGGAAGGATGGCCTTCGCGAGGATAGCTTCCGTCCTGTTCCTCGGTCTCTGCTGGACCGTTTTGGTTTCCTGCGAGGATCAGAACATCACGGTGATCAACAGCGGGTTGAATGAGCCTGATTTCCCCACTCGTAAGCCCCACTCGTGGAATAACTTTTTTTCACCTAATTCGTGTCATCAATCAATTGTCAATTATTCATTATCGCTAAATCGCAATTCACGCAGTTGTTAGGAACTGTGAGACGCTGAATTGGCATTAATTGCTATGCGGCACGCGCGTATATTAGTCATAGACACTGCCGTGGTAATATTCATTAGACTCCGTGATCGCCCATGACACCGCAACTTCTCAGGCGCATACAAACGATTGTTTTCGATCGGGTTTTAAAATTGAAAGTACTAACCGCATGCGTTGTGGCATAAACGTTTGCTAAAATTATACCTTCAATTTACATTTGTATCTTTTTACGACTGTTTATAATGATTTATTTGCTAATTTGAATTTTGAATGAAACTCGTTAAAATTTCAAAATGCTATTATACAGTTATATATTCAATATATGTATATAATTAGAACTTAAAAATAAAAATCGCGGAAGAATCAATAGTGTTTCACTTCTGAAGAAAAATTGATCGGTACTCCATTTAATGATTCTTGCTATTAATAATTCGATAAATTAGGGTATATTTATTCATTAGTTTATAAAACATGATTTGTTTTACATTAGCATTTCGTTCCACGATAGAGAAAGAGAGAGAGAGAGAATGTGTGTGTGTGTGTGTGTGTGTGTGTGTGCAACCATGTTGATTACGTATGTACGCAAAAGACAATAGGAAATGATTACGCGAGAGAGTGTAATCTTACCTCGCATTTTCATTTACATTTTCCACCGAACATCTCGAGCATATCTACCTTTCTCTTTCGTCGTAATCCATCGAAATACAAACAATGGGCATACCATATGATTACGTACGGAAGCCCGTTGTCTTGATTGCACCTGCACTCTCCGCTATTGTGACTGCCAACTATCAATCACGCGAACTTTTCCGCAACATTTTCAAAATTTGATTAAAGCTAATATTTGACTTTCGTGAATCACACAAATGCTCAATAAAATATTTAATTTATCCCGTATCGATAGAGATGATTCATATATATATAAATTAATTGTTGCACATTACTGAATTAAATTATTTAATAGATTCTAATTTTATTCTATTAATATGCAAATCATTTCAAATTTTTTTAATCTTATACAATCTTGCATGCATTATTTCATTGTCTGCATATATATATATATATATGCAGACAATAGTTCATATCACCGTTCTTTATATAACAATCTAATTAAGTATAACAATCTTCAGCTAATAATTGTATAGTAATTATCAATAGCGATGCATAATAATATATAAACATTTACTTATAATTATTGTGAACAAATAATTTTAATTAGCAAAATTATTAAAATAATCAGTTATAGTTCATTAGAAATGTTATTACATTTAAATACTTTATCTTGTTTTTCTTTCATTACAATTAACCAGTCGAAAATAATATAAAATAAGCACAGCTTTATTTATTTTTATATATAAATAAAAAAAGAATTTTAATTTACAGTTAATGATGAGGATTTGGAATTCAAAAAATCTCAAAATCTTTTCATAAATAAAAATATTACACGGAAGTTAAAAATATAAATAAATAAATTGTGTGTAATATTGATAAAAGCAAAAGGCGATATTGTGAAGCTTATTAAAACATTTACAAAGAATTCAATGGCATCGTTCCGCGATTTTTCCGTTCCATTTTGTCTTGTGTAACAGTAATTAATATTCATTGTAAAGAGGTCAGTTTTTACCTAACATTCCTATCTAATAATAATAACAGCTAATTATAAATAACAAAATAATTCACGTGCATAAAACGACACCGGCTACGGTGGTCTTCGCCGATATAATGTCTTGGAACATGGCGTAACGTTTCTCGACGGCGTGGCGAAGGTTATGTCAGAGATTGCGTAATTCTCGGTGTCGAGGATCGGCGGCAATCGTCCGGAGAAAGTACCGGAGTCGGTGTTACAACGATGTACGCAAAGCACCGCCGATTCTCCGTTATACGTTGCATTACAAGTGATGACATTTTTTTCGAGGTAGACATGTTGGATTCGCGAATAAATTCTACAAAGTAAGGGTGCAAAAGGCTAAATCAAATCCTCTTTTCTTTTATACGAAAGAGAAACCGTTCAAATTGCACGTTAGAAAGAAATATATGTGATTGACAGCTATCTTTCTTCTTTATAAACCTTTCCCACTGCGCGTAAATGCTTGGAAATAATTGCTTAAGCGAGTGTTAACTTTTATCTGCGAGCTCTTGTTGTATTTGTGATCCAGTAGCACTTGTAATCCAGTATCGTTTTGCTAATGCAATGTCTACAATAATGAGACATAAGATTTAAGAAAATTGATCTGTCATAGTCGATTATTCATGTCATATAAGAAGAATAATTGATTGTGATTGATCAGTTTTTTAAATCTTAAGTTTTAAATCTCATTGTAGATGCCACTGAACTACTCGTTAGGACGTAATTTATCAAGCTCGACTCACCTCTTTTGAATCGTTTAAATCGATGTTAGCATATCGATTATATGTCTCATAAATCGATGTGCTTGCTTCGGCAGTAATTTTACAATGACGACAGTAATAAAGTAAACACAGTAGTAAATATAGACTTTTTTCTTTCAGCAAACTACGAGTGATTATATGTCAACAACAATGTCGAAAAGTAATAAATATTCTCATTTCTTTTTTTTTTCTTTTTTCATTATCTTTTTTACTTTCGTATAGGATTACATTTTTACGAGCATTAGAGCCCGTGCTGTACTTTTTTCTTATTTATCTTTTATTTTGCACGCGTTCGTTCTCGGCCGAGTCAATCGGTGTCCCGAGTGAAAGTGGCGACGTAATAGCCAGTGATGCGTCAAGTGGTCCAGATTCCTACGTGAGACGTAATAATAATACGAAAAAAAGTAAAACGTCTCTGCTCTTTGACACAGATTTTAATTACGTTTACAAAGGTCAAGTGTTACCACATTTAGAATTATCGTGGTCGCTGGTGTTTCCTTTTTTTTCTCTTGCCTTCAATCTCTCGGAGTAGTCTTAACTAATGATTACGAGATCCTTGAAAGTAATGATTATCTAAAAAGCATAAAAGGAAGCAGAAGACCTTGCAAAACGATTTGCCGAAAAACGAATTATCGTTTATATTAAGTAGTTTTCGTCAGAACACATCATTATACCACAATATCACGGCAAAAAGATAGAAGACCTCAATCGAATTGCTCGACCTAATGATTTCTACTAATAATTCACCGTCATATAGCGTGTGTTAATATCAGTAACTCTGCTCATTTGAGGTAATAATAAAATAATAATAAATTAGTGTATAAAAAATCTCAATCGTTTCTTTTAAATGCACATTGCAGAAATATATAATCAATCCAAATTAACATAATTATGTACCTTTCTGTACATAATTATTTAGATAATTAATTAACGAGATACATAATTAAACACGGAAAAGAAATCAATATTAAGCTAATAAATATTTAAATATCAAAATGAATAGAAAGTAACTCTGAATCACCCTGCAAACTACAATTTTTCAAATAAGCTTTACAATATATATGTATACAAATTTTAAATTATTTAATAATTTTATACATCATTAATATTTTACATTACAGAAAATAAAAATTAATTATAAATAATGCGATTTCCAAAAGTTTCACTGTGTTTGATGATGCAAAAATTACACATTTACTCCGTGCTCTAAGAAGCATATCGTATGCAGTCCTACGAAATCAAGAAAATTGCAGAAGTATAAAATTATGTATTTTTAGATCATTAAGTACATGAAAGTAAAACATAAAATACATAAAAATTAGCAATTTAGATAAAACACTTTGGTATCCATGTATACATTTAAATCCAAGAAGTATATTACGTGTTCAATGTTCAGAGAAGACACTTAGGAATTAATGGGGGCTATCAAATACGTGCGTTGCTTGTAAAATATCGCGATTAGTCTGTTGCTCAACATCGTGATACATGTTATCATTATTAGCATACCTATCATTAATTACATAATAACCATTACATAATATTTGACCGACCTACCTAAAGTGGAGTTCCTTTTTTTTACAGCCGAATACATACTACCATGCAGCAGGAAAGATCCAAAGATCGACGCGTGCTTTCTTAACACGCTCGCCCATATTCAGCCGTATTTGGTGAAAGGTGAGTAAAACGGCGATTCGTCAAATTAGCGAAATGCACGGCACGCGCTAGAGAAGACATAATGAATGATATAATCCCATCACTTCAGTACTCATGTCCTTAGTTGATAATATTCTGCTTTACAATAAAATTAAAATTTTTCATGTGAAAACTGAGAAAGGAGTGCAAGGAGTCAAAAGAAAGGCAGACTTGTAAATTTTAGATCTTATATATATATTAATTGTTGTATAAAATATTAATTGTTCGACTACAAATTGAAATGACAAATCGTGTGATTGTAATTTCAAGCAAGATTAATGAATTAAACTTGTTTTTCAAGAAAAACGTCAATCTTTTATATATATATATATATTTTAATTCATTAATCTTGCTTAAAATTACATTCACACGATTTGTCATTTCAATTTGTAGCCGAACAATTAATATTTTGCTATAACTTATATTTGTTAAAATTCTTAAATAGTTTGAAAATAACATCAACGCAATAAAAAATATTAATTAAAATTTCAAAAATAAGATAATATTTATGTTAAAAATATTAATAATATAAACGGTGTACAATATCGCAAAAATTTTATTCGTACATCTATTCATGTATCTACTTTGATAAATCAAAATCTCTTTGTTTTTTTTTAAATAAAATTTTTATAAATATCAATTATCAGTATAAGCCCACAAGAAATAAAATGTTAGTGGCAATTGTTACATAAAGCATATTCTCATGTCGTAAGTGCGCACCGTAAACTTTCCTTCAGCTCGCTCCGTAAATATCGCGAAAATTTGTACAACTGATTTAGACTTACAATGATGCTTTATGTAACAGGCGAAGTCGGAACTCCGGACTTCGTAGAAAAGCATTGCGGCATAATTACACGCACGACGTCGTTGCAAAATATTGGCTCTCGATACGACGATTAATTTCGAAAGAGTTAAAAATCATTCAAATCGATACGTAAACGAAAGTTAAAATAGTTGTCCATGCGTACTATAGAGACATCTTTTTTAAAAGAAAGAATAGAAGATATATATACATAAAAAGCTATATTTAAACTTGCAATAAGTAAAATAATTGTTAAAGAAACGTTTAAAATATTAACTGTCCAAAAATAAATACAAAGTTGTTTATTATAATTAAAGAAAAATGTGAATTTATAATCAACGCTTCTTGACAAAAGATTTCTTTAGTTTTTAAAGCACTTATTTCTTATTTGATTTATTAATTTGAAAAAGAATTTAGTCCATGTAAATTTTAAGTCGTTTTGAAGATTTAAAATCAAGGAAGAATATATTTTTTCGTTAAATTATATTATTAGGCCATAATATTATACCATCTATAAAATTCGATTATATTAATAAGGAAAGTGTCCCCCTCCGATTTTGATGAGCAAACAACCCTTGGAAAAAAATCGGTTTTTTTATTTCAATACGAATATCGTCGAAACTATGAGAAATAGAAAAAATGTTTGAACTAAAGTTGAATGGCTTTAAGAGTACTTCATAATTATAATTTAAAATAATTTTTATGTTTACCCCCACTACCAAAATTTTTTAATTTTTTAAATTTTTTTTTACCAAAATTAAACAGATTAAACTTTTACCAATTTTAAGTTTTAAATTCAACCATGTGTGATAAAGTTAGTTTCCGAAGTATCATTTTCAAGAAATAATTATAAACGCCTCTATACGCACTCTACCATCCGTACTCTACTACGCTGCGCTCAATTCTTCACGCAGCACGTTCTGCTCGCATTTTTGCATTTAAGGAGACAACGATCAAAATAAATTTATTTCCGCAATATTCTGCGTACGTATAATTATAAATCGTTTTTATCGCGCACGGCTAGACAACGCTTAAGAAACAAAATTTGAATGTTTTGACCTTGCTTTGACTAGACGTGCGCGATAAAAACGATTCATAATTATACATACGCAGAATATTGCGGAAATAGATTTGTTTTGATCGTTGTCCTCTATTAAATGCAAAAATGCGTGCAGGACGTGCTGCCTGAAGAATTGAGCGTAGTAGAATACGGATGGTGTGCGTATAGAGGCGTTTATAATTATTTCTCAAAAATGATACTTCAAAAAATAACTTTATCACACATGGTTAAATTCGTCTTAAAATTGGTAAAAAAAAATTCGAAATATTAAAACAAAATTTTTGGTGGTGGGAATAAACAAAAAAATTAACAATAAAAAAATTATTTTAAATTATAATTATGAAGTACTCTTAAAGCTATTCAACTTTAGTTAACATTTTTTTCTATCTCTCGTAGTTTCGACGATATTCGCATTGAAATAAAAAAACCGATTTTTTTCCAAGGGTTGTTTCACCCCTTAAAAGTGCGTAAGAGCGCGAATATGCGGTAGCTTAATTCTTGGTTTTGTCTAGAGAAAAACATCAAAAGCTCATCGAAATCGGAGGGGGACACTTAGGTCCCTTTCCTTGTAAGTTATATAATTATGTCACAGCTATTCCATCGTGTTTATAAAATTATGTTACATAAAATTATATAAATTAGTCGTATGTTTTCATTACAGTTGTTTAGCACGGTAGAAAACTTATTTACAAATTAGGATACGTAACCAAATGCACTGTGCATGACCTTTAGATGTACAGATACGTGCGTATATGTGCGTATTTTAAAAATTTTTTGAAATTTTCGATTCACATTCCGAAATCTCGGGGTCGAGTCTATCAATTTTAATTACACTAGCCTTGAGCGAAAGCTCGATATTATATAACAAAAGCGCTATTAAATGTTTCATTGCGAAATTAATTCCTAAGATGTTTGAATCGAAAGTATTATATGACTGACATAAGAATTCCGGATAAGAAAAGCGGTAGCGCTCGACGATGGACAATGACATGAATTACAGCCGGTATGTCATCATTTTTATGTAATTAGCGTCGAAACGCTACCGCGTCTCTTAATTGACTAATCCGTAATACTACGTAATGTGCAAGCCAAGAAGAAATAAGCCACTACATTTTCTTTTTATAAATTTATGAATGTCCAACGTTCACACGAAGGCGCTTAGAAAAACTGCTACCATTAATTTTACAAATCGTAACAAATGAGTCAACTATCTCGTTATTATTATCTTTTCTGCTATGATCTATGCGTACTTCCGTTATTCGCAATAATTATCAACTAATTAGAAATAATTGTGATTTCTTAATAGGCATCCCGGAATTGGATGTGCCTCCCATAGAGCCGCTCGTGATCCCCGAACTGAAGATGGAGAATGGCCAAGGTCCAGTGCGTGTCAGAGCGATCTTCACCAACATCACCACGATAGGACCAGGCAATTACAGCATCAGCAAAGTGCGAGTGAACATATCGTCGTATAGGTTCGACCTGCATCTGTCTTTGCCGAAGATCGATATACACGGCAGCTACGACATCAACGGAAACGTACTTCTCTTCCCTATTCAGAGTCACGGCGACTTTTGGGCATTATTCGGTAAGAGTTCCCGTGAGGTATAAAAACTGGTTTCGTAATTTATTAAATAAATATGCCGACCTCTGCTGATTTATGCCTTCTTCGCACCTTCGGTATTACAGGTGACGTAAAGGCAATCGCTCGTATGCAAGGTGTCGAGGAAGTGAGAGACGGCGTTCGCTACATGAAGATCTCCCGATTGCTGATCGACTTTAGCCTCGGTCGAGCCAGATTTCGCATAAACGACCATCTGAACGGCAACAACGTGATCGGCCAGGCGATGAACCAATTCCTGAATCAGAACATCAAGGAGATAATCGAGGAGATGAGACCGGCGGCCAGTTCGAGTATCGCCAAGTACTTCAAGGACTTCCTGAACGGCGTTTTCACCAAGATGCCCCTGAAAGTTTGGATGCACGATACGTAATAGTTCCCAAATCCCCGATCACGTACAACGTTCACGTACACGCGATATCCATGACTGCTGCATTACTTCATCGAAACGCGAACATACATTTCATGATTACAAAAAAAAGTATCATAATCCTTATGAAAGTACATAATAAATAGTTTGTAAGTGGTCATAATTTGTATTAAGATTTGTAATTGGTAAGAGATACCTACGCGAGTAGCGAGCATTGATTACATACGTGATCCATCATCCGAATAAAAACGATTTTTTGGCACGCAATTTACGAATATTTTAAATTAATAAATAATTATTATTACAAATTTATTATGTTCAAACTGATTTGAAAGCCTGGATCGACAGTGTAAGAAACTCACGTTTTCCAAACTTCGTTTTACGCTTTTGAAATTGAATTTCGTCATTAACTGATAAAATAATATGAAATTCACGGACATTTATATTATAATTGTATTAACTTTGTTTCTTCTTTATTATTACGTTGCGATTTATTATGTCATAAACATACAATGTAGAAATATTATTACAAAACTGTATAAAATAGGTATATTGAGTAAAGCGTATAACCGCATTTAAATTACTCGATCTTGAACGAAATAAATAAATATGTCTACCTCGAAATAAATTTTAGCAGTAATAATTATTTTTATCGCTAAAAAAAATTATTCCAAATTAATGAGAGAATATGTTATTGAATTAATTTTTGCAGGAAGAAGTCAACACAATTAGTAATCAAAAATCTCTAAAAATCCTAACTTTTCTTTTCTTTTGAATATTTATATTTATTACTTTTATTAATTGCACACTAAGATACTTCAAGTATTGTTATTTTAGCAATAGTTATAGGGTAAAATTCATTCTGAAATCCAATAATCCTCATATGAGAGACCTGATCGAGAGTTATAATCATGAATTGTATTGGATGACTTAGACATGATCGGATTTAAAAAAAATGATATATCTCAAGAAATAAAAAAATTCCTTTGTTTAACGATTCTTATGTTTAAGTCCTCGGATCGTCACAAATTTACAGAGAAAATGTAATTTCTTACACGGTATTATATCTAAGGAGCAGGAATAAACAGGAGTAAAAGCGATTGTAAAAAAGCACAGGCAAATAGGATTATACTCTCGAAACGGAATAAAATATGGGCTCCGGTTTCATGCCGGTCGCTCGTAGATTCACGTCCTGTATCAGCGACGTACTTGCGAGGCATCGTCGCTCGGCAGCGACGTTGGCCGATAATGAAATTAGAACCGTGGTAGGACATATCATTCGACCTCCGACCCTCTTCTCCCGGGTTCTCGCAAAGTCCTTAATAAAAGTGAGCAGCGCGTCTCGCGTAGTGCGGCAACGACGCTCGGCCACGCACGTAGTAAACACATGCGCGCGCGCCACAGATCAGAGACGAGAGACGGGACGAAACGAAATACTGTGTGTACAAGTATCGCGCACTAAATATGTATCATTTAGCCGTAAGAATAGTAACAAGCAAGTAAGCCTGCCGAACGGCCTGTCGCTTCTGATGTAAATCCGGAATTCCTCATCCCCGATCTTCTACGCCTTTCACCGAAATCACCGATCCAACGTGCGTACGATCTCGCGTCGCGGCGCACGAAATTCGTACGGTTGTGAAGAGGGATAGAAGTGTGCAGAGAATTACATCGGCGAAATTATGGCTAAGTTCACCAAGCGGCAATGGCTCACCCTGATTGTCATAAGCATCGCCGATTTCGCCAATGCGATCTGCGTCTCGCTGCAAGCACCGTTCTACCCCCAAGAGGTAAGATTCAGGGATTTTCTTCCTCTTCCTCTCCGAGGAAGATCACATTCGTGAAGCGTACAACGTAAAAGCCAACGATAATTTTGCCATTTAATTTTTATTGCACTCAAACGTCGTTTGAAATATCCATCTTGATCTTCAAGGTTTCGTCGCGCAATTTCAAATGATAGCGATGTTTAAGCCACACGCGATCACAGACGCAACAAGACGATAATGACGATTGTAATGCCGCACAAAATGTAAATACTCTAGTTCGTAAAATGTGAATTAAAACAGATTTCTGTAACATTGTCGTCGGTGGGATGATAATTCAAATTTCGCACTCGGTGATCGAATGTTTACAAAACTACATACATATAGTATATAACGTCTTACTGTCCTTGTAATGTATGTGCAGAAACTCATGAAACAGGCCTTAAATAATATCTCACTTGATTTTGAAAATGTAGAAGAATATATAAGATTTATCTTTCCAGAAAAGGAGATTTTATATTGTTTAAATAACAACATTTCATTAACACATACAACGAAGATTTTATTTAACGTCAAATATGAACAATAGTCTCATGTTTTAAATCGTATATCAATTTAGTACACTTAGCATTTTCAATCGCCATTGCGATTATCTTTTTACTTTCTATCGTCTTTCTTTCATTGCATTCCATTTATCAAACCATATAAATCATTTAATGATAAAAATATAATATAAATTATAACGTGATAGAGGATATATAAACATTATATAAAATATAAGCTTAATATATGTTTTGATATGTCTGTGTTATTAAATCTTAAATGGACTTAAGGAAATAATTAATTAAAGCTAATGAAGTATAACATTTTTTTCATATAATGTTTGAAGCGCCTTCGAAGGCGTCGAATTATCCGAGTTCAGATCGTTCTTCCAAGAGTGCAAAGGTTAACGCGTTCGTTGAAGAAATCTTCTCGATAAGTCGAAGAGCCTGGCAGGTTCAATCAATTTCTTTCTTAATAGGATCTCTATCGCGAAAAGCGCATGCGCGAAAATAAATCAAATAATTAAGAAAATGCAAAGTCGCAATATGTCATATTTTTCGTCGTAAGAAGAAGTGGATGTAGATTGGAAGTGGATTAGAAAGCAATTTTTATCGGATCACGTGCGTTACTGCACGTCAGAAACTATTTGCTACTTTGTGGTTAAAAACGCATTACGTACTTATCTTGCAAACCGATAGTTAAGAAAAGAGTTAAGAATGAGACCTCTCAGCAAACAACCGTATATCGTAATTTGTTTCATTATTGCATAATAATATACTGCTCGAGGGAACTGTCTAATTTTTCTTGTCGTTTCTTTCTTAACTCTTTATGTCATTTTTTTTTTAAGTCTTTTAATACCGATTACATGATGGCGAATATGCAATAAATTATGAGCATGAAATAAAGGAAGATTATGATATTTTGTTAAAATTCGCACGATCACGTTTGCTATCATATATGATCATCTATATAGATTGCATTTCAAATTAAACACATCATCCCCAAAATTGTAACAAGTGTAAATAAATCACTGATATGTACCTATATATCAGAGAAATAACTCTTTCTCAAAGCTGAACAAATGCATTTTCAAAAAAGAAAAGGAAAAAAACCGTGTCAAATGCGTATCCACGTACGGAGCACGTGTCCAAGGGCTGTCGTCCGTCTATCGCGAGACAAATGGCGACATTCGATAATTCGGTTTGTACACTCTCGCCGCGTGGAGCAAAGCTCCAAAGTTTATCGGGATATTATCTCGGCGGGCATTAATTGCACGCGATAATCGACGGAGCTACTGCGTAGCTCAATGTGCCTTCGAGTTGCCAATATTTCGAACGGCTTCGAAATACATCGGCGAATTAACCACACATATGCGTAACATTGGCACATTTCTTTTCCGCAGGCCGAGAAAAAAGGAGCGTCACCGTCGGAATATGGGCTGGTCTTTGGAATTTTCGAGCTGGTGGTCTTCATTATTAGCCCGTTCTACGGGCAACATGTGAGTGATGACATAATTAGTGCAATTACTGCATATTTTCAATGTCACGGTATGAACCTTACAAGTCACAAGTCAAATCGTCACATTAAGTAGATAAAGTCAAGTAATAAAATTCCTCCGTAATCTGAAAGATTATTTTTTTATCGATACGGTCGTAAATTATTCCCATTCATTCGCGCCCTAAGTGTCTAATCTGCCCCAAAATATCTCAAATAATTTGGCTATCACTGCGGATAAAATGTTGAAAAAATTATGAGAAAATTACGAAATAATGAAAATATATAGAGTGCTGTAAATCTTGTAAGTACATGAAATTCAGATCGCAAGTGAGCCTATGTAATGATTAAGGTTGCAACACGAAGCGTCAAAATTTGCCATTCCTCAGGCGGCTCGTCTGACTGTTGCGGATATTCAAAAATTACCACTCGATATTCTTTCGCAATTATATTTCTGCAGAAAAAAAATAATCAAAAAAGTTTGCAAATATTAATTTTCAACACAAAAATGTTTTAATTTAATTTACTTGTCTTTCGCAGCTCAATCAAATCGGTCCGAAATTACTGTTCAATGGCGGTATCCTGACTACAGGAACCTGCGCCATATTCTTCGGTTTATTGGACAAAGTTGAGGGTCACTATCCCTTTATAATCCTGTCCTTCTTAATCAGGATTGTGGAGGCGATGGGAAATGCTGCGTTTCTAACAGCCAGCTTTGCCATTATTGCCAAAGAATTTCCCAATAATGTTGCTATAACATTCGCCAGTTTGGAAACTTTCTTCGGCTTGGGTCTTATCGTAGGTCCGACTGTTGGAGGAGCACTCTATCAAGTAATATATAATATTCTTAATAATGTTCCTTTAATTTCTCTCTTTCGCGCGCACGCGCGCGCGCGTGCGCGCTTATATCTCGAATGCAACTATCTACATTCGCAAAATAACGTCTCGGCCGCAAACGCGATAATTTTATCTGAATGTCAGTAACATTAATACGCATTAGGATGTTATTAATATCACACGTCGAATATATATATTAGATAGGTGGATACACCACACCATTCGTGGTCCTTGGCTCAGCGTTGTTCGTGGCAGCTGTCAGCACCGCATTCATTCTACCCGTGCATAATAACAACGATAACGACGCGCACAGTACCGGAGGTTCGTTCGAACGGATATTTAAACCATGTGCTGATCGTGATCTCCCCCCCCCCTTTTACATACAATACATTATCCGTTACGATTCGCAGGAGTAATGAAGGTCTTTAAAATCCCCGGCGTGATGATCGCCTCCATGTCGATAATCGCGACGAGCATGAGCATCGGATTTTTGCAAGCGACACTTGAACCGCATCTCAGGCAATTCAACTTAAGCCCAGTCGTTCTGGGATTGATGTTTGTCATCAACGGCGGCACTTACGCGATAACGGCGCCGGCATGGGGTTGGCTCTGCGACAATTACTGGCATCCAAAGGTAATTCCGTAATGCGAATGCAGGAAAAAAAAAGATTATCACGATTCTCCACATAGCTTACAATTGAATTGTCCCTATAAATTACATCGCAAGTAAATTCCGAGCGAGTAATCTCGGGTTAGCCACCGCCCCAAGGCGATTGTATCAGATTCAAAATATATCGCATGTAAATATATATATCGGCGCAAAAAGGACATGACGCTCTTCAGGTAGCAACCGTTGCCGGCTGCTTTCTCGTAATGATCGGTTTCTCGCTGGTCGGTCCAGCGCCGTTCATTCCGTCGGCCACCGTAATCTGGATGCCTATCAGCGGCCTTGTGATCCACGGCTTAGGCATGGCTGCTCAACTGGTTGCGAGCTTCACGGATGCCTTACGGACATCTATGTAAGTCGCACAAGAATAACTCCGAACATACGAATCACAATTATTTTCGCACAATTCGCAAGTCGATCGCGATTTTACAAATTAATGATTTTCTAACGTTATCAACTAATTGGCAATACTTCTGATGTCGTGTTCCATGTTAAGATCATTTGGATTGCCGAATAATCTGGAAACTTACGGCCTCATCAGCGGATTGTGGACAAGTACCTTCGCTCTTGGAGCTTTCATCGGTCCTAGCGTCGCCGGGATACTATTGGACAACGTCGGTTTCAGAAATAGTTCTATGTTTATCGTGTTACTTCACATGCTAGTGGTACGTCCGATTCACTTTACAATTTCTATCTTCCAATTAATAAAATTTATTTCAATTTAAATCTGAGCGATTCAAAAGAAAGCATCACATAATGCAATATCATTCCTTTCGAAAATTGAATCGTGAGAATTCAAAATTATGCTCCGACTGATATACGAGCATAAAACTTCGTCCTACTTGAATAATCGTATATGCATCTCGAATTTGGATCTCTCGAACAATATAATTGGTCGGCGGCTTGTGCCTGCGCCATAAATAAAATTACTCGCATTTGACTTTTTTTCGACGTGCAGGGCGTGATAGCCGCGGTGTTCCTGAGCAGTTGCACTCGCGCGCCCAAGCCGTACACCGACGTCGGCGCGGCCGAGGATCACATCAGGGCGCCGCTGATGGAGAGCGGCCGATTGGGCAGCGGTAGTCTGCATCACAACGGACGGGGCCAGAGTGTGCCGATCGACAGGCCCGGCGGCATGAATTCGCTGATTGTGTGCAACAGTTACTCGAATCGAGCCGGCGCGTGGTCCAGGGCATCGTATAGCGGCCGTTACTCCCACAGCTACGGATCCATAGAGAATAAACGTTACCTGGAGCTCACCACGTGATAACGAACCGTTCGGCATCGTTCGTCCGGGAAACGACAACGAAAGTACCAGGATCGTGCCATCGTTCACTCTCTGGCTCTCATCATTGAGATCATTCAATTTCCGCGATATGCTATTTTAGCGGAAGCACAAGAGAGACTGTTTCTTACTTGAAAAGAATCGGCCGAAAGTTAATGTCTCATTATTTGCTTTACCGGTAAGCTAACTATAATCAAAAATTTAGACTCAATTTAGAATTAATAGTATTTCTATAATGGAATATATATATATATATGATAAATATTTTCATAAAGAGCCCCCTTGAATTTAATAATATCGCGATAAAAGGATAAAGTGGCACTGACAATAAAAGAAAAGTAACCCTAAGTATATCTATTAGCACAGCATAATTGAATTAATTTTATCTACATCCGAAGGTAATGCAAATTTTATATAACACATACATATATAATATGTATGTATATATATATATATATATACTCTCTAAATTTTCTGGAGTGACTTTTCACTCTTTTGGAGTAAAATTCACTCCAGAAAATTTAGAGAGTATGTATAACTTCTCTCTGTGCATGTAATCTCTCTAAACATATAATGTGTCACAAGTATGCTGAATTACAATAAACTGTTATCATAGTGAGTAGAATTATTACGATAATCATCATAATAAGAATTATAATACAATTATAATAAGAATTATAAAAAGTTTCCTCGCGAGTCAATAATTTAAGCCGTTAACTCTTAAATACGCAAGTTTCTCCCGCTGTCTGCGCGCTATCTTATTAATTTCTTATTCCTAAAGTAAGTTTTACGATACTAGAATATTATAAAAGCATATATGAAATTTTTTATTCATACGGTACTAGTTAGATCGATAGACTTGTAATTAAATGTAATTTTAGAGTAACACGTGAATCGAGAGATTTTCGCACACATCCTATATCTAAGATTTCGAAGACTGCATATGTAAAAAGTTACAACATTTAGGGGGGTCGAAGCAGCCAATCTCGAAATAATGCAGGGAGTCCAATGAGACATACGCTGATGCACGAAACGCAATTCAAGCAGTATTCACAGAGTGCATTATCGCCGATCGCTTTATCACGGTTTACTTAACGGACTCGCATGGCTACACCGTACCCTTTTCTGTTAAGCTCGATTCGATTCTGCCGCTATTATTACTATCGCAATAATAACGTCTGCACACACACTCGAGCAGGAGTCGAGTCTCATTATATCTACGAAGTCTGCACGTTGCAAGTAGCACCTGTAACGCCATCGAGTCTTCTATACGCGATACACTTGTTAGACTTTATTCTCTCCGTTCGCAACTGTACGTTTTAGAAATACGGCTTATGGTAGTCGTTTGAATGGCGTTAGCTTCTTGCAATTAAAGGAGAAACACCGCCGCCCCTTGTGACCCGCATCACGACTAGCCTGTGTAATAGCTAATAAAGATCGTTCATTTTATATTAATTTTAACAGCGTAAATAGAATAGGGCATTAGCCGTCTTGCTATAAAATCAACTGTTCTAATGTGAAATGGCGCGTCGATATCGAATATACTTTTTGCCGCACTTCATATTACCGCGTCAGAGCAACATCGGGAAACGTGGCCGATATTCAATTGATTGGAGCTTGAATCTAGAATTATGCGATTATGCCGTTGCAACTACAGGTTTGTGCAACGGCATAATCGCATAATTCTAGGTTCGAGCGCCGACGGAAAAGGTAACGGACGTTGTGGGTGTTAATGGTGTCGTCGATATCACGTGCAAATGACTTTCGCAACAGGCTTGCTGCGTGATTATTGCCAATCACTACTGCAACCGTTCGCACGAGAGGAACCAAGGAAACTGAATAATGAAATTGTACATACACTGCTATTTTACTCTTTAATTAATCTTACCATTATTTTAGCGCTGAATAATTATTGCACTATTGCATTATGCCTGTTTGTGTGTGTGTGTGTGTGTGAGACATTTTTTAACAATATATAATATTAAATATTGTAAGATAATTTTATACGTGAAAATAAAATAAGTGCAGGGTACATAAATACGCATTTGCAGTTGTAATATTATGTGTCTATAATAAAAATATTTTTATTTAAGATGTAATTCATAATTAATTCCTCCAATTCTACGAATGCTATTATAGTTTCATGAATGCTATTACGTACTCTAACGACAGATTAATGAAGACTTGACAAATGATAGAAAAAAATCTTGTTTAATACAATTTTGGTTTTATACATAAAACTTTAAACTTCTAGAAAAAAAACCAAAGAAAGCTTCCTATTAACGTGATATAATGTTACGCATAATAATACTTCTTTCCTTCCCTCTTTTTACTTCATATACATATTAGAAGCTGCATTCTGTAAAGAGATTCCGTGTATCCTTTTCTCGCGTGAAAAATTCACTTTCATATACGTTTCTCATTGCCTTTTAACGACCGCGTGCCGGGTTTCTGAGCGTCGTCGCGCCTGACGAACGTCGTTCTTTCCTGCGCGCGATTTGAATTCCAAGCTGTTCACGCATACGCGACACGCCCACGCACGTGCACGAATTCTTTAACAATATATGCGCGGCTGTCTCTTTCTTTCCTCGCTCCCGTCCGTGGGGATGTATAACAATGCGAAAAAAAAAGGGCGCGCGTTCCGTGAACTCCGCACGTGCGAATGTGTGCGTCGATGATTCATAATTCAAATATTAAAAGCGGCATAATCTTGCGGTTCCGAGAAAGGACACATTGCTAACGTGTTTGATCAGCATTTTAAAATATTTAAACTTAGATAAATCTTTTTCCATAACTGATTCTAAAGTCTAACAACAAGTTCTATTTATATCATAAAACGGAAAATCGCGTCTTATCTGACGAGAAATAAACTGTGACATTCATAATTCATTACTAGATTATTTCTTACTTTGAAAGTGGCAGGAAAATACAGTTTATAATATTACAAATTTTTCCAAAATGTGTTATTTATATTGTTTAATAATTTTTAATATTATTTATCTTTCAACTAAAGAAACTTTTTCTATATATCTAGATTTTTTTAAAACAGTCTATTTAATCCTTTTTTATGTAAAATCGACGATTTGCAGAAACTGTTTAAAACTTTTCTCATTTGATCGAATGTGTTCACGTTTCAACAATAAGTTTATTGCGAGAACTCAAGCATCCTCCTAACTAGTTTCGTTGCATCTGCACGAGAAATGTGCAACACGTAAAACTAAATAACGCGCTACTGTTTCCGTAACTATTTCGTATTCCGCAGATCGCCGTGTTCACTCGTGTGCATCGACCTGTCGGTAAATGATTCTGCTATTTCTACAACGTGCTAGCAAAACCCTATTCGGCACTTCTTGCCGTGCTAACGATTGCCTTTCGCGCTGTTGTGGAAAGGCAATTGTTGTATACAAGCTCGATGATTGGCATAGCAAAGTTAGTTTATTATTTTAAACGAGGTTCATTTTCTACATGAAATACATCAAATTCGCATAATGTGCGTTAAGTAAATTAAAGTGAAGCAATCCGTGAAAAAAGTACAATGTTAAATCTATAATAGAGAATCGCCGATTGAATATAATTGTTATATGATTGAATGTAATTAACATTACAAAAAGTTACGTTTTTACTTTTATGAAACCGAGCGTTCTCGTAAAGTAAAGAAAAGTTGGAAAAGGCGCCTCGTGTGACGCGTAGGAACCAGCGGAAGGAAGCAGTGAAAGAGAGTAGACAGAGAAAAGGAGTGAGAGAATTTGTGGGTCTTCGTCTTACCCTCTTCAAACACACAGCCGAGCGCGAAAGCGAAGTGAAGGAACGAAAAGGAAGACGAGGGAATTATTAACGCATACGGCGTTGCTCACCGGTGTGCATCGAAGTGTCCGCCGAAGCACCAGCTTCCCTTCCACCGACACCCCACGGTCCCCCCCGGTTTCCCCACCCCCTCCCCTCACCATGATTCCCAACGACGAGACATAAGGCGTTACGTCGCGAATTCCTATGGATCTCGCCGTCCCGGCTGGTTGAGTGCAAGAATCCGGCCGGAAAGACGAGCAGCACGGTCGAGGGCAATTAATGCAATTACATAATAATCGCTCCCCTTTGACGTAATCGAAGAAACGGTGTCCGAAATTTATTAATGTTTAAATTTGTAATCCTTCGTCTAAATGAATATAATACGTCGTACGTCTAGCTGGAATCGAGAATTCCATGACGGAGGAAAGTGAAAATTTGAAGCAAATATAATAATTAGTTGTAGCTTCTATAATTACTCAATTTATAATAGTTAATCCAAATTTAATAAAATTCAATCCCGTTTAACCCAAATCTAATAAAATCTGAGTTTGACAGAAGTGTCAAAACGGGCCTCCTGTGAAATTAATTCTTTTACAAGAAGAAGCCTCTTGGAGCTATCTTGTTTGGTCTTTTAAAGTCAGGTTTTTTTTATCTATATCTAACTCGTTTCGTCTAACTTGTAAAGACCAAAGTGAAGAACGTCTATTTAAATATTTGTCCCAAAAAGGATTTCAGTATCTTCACTAGTGTTATTTCCTCTGTGGAGTAGAAAAGGGGAGTAAACAGATCGTAAATAAGTATCGATATAAATTGTCATGTAGATAGATAGGCAGGTACGTTGGTGTTTATGGCACCTTGCTCCAGACTTCCCTCGTGCCTCGACCTACCATCAGGTGCACCCATCAGGCGAGGTGCTGCCACCTGAGCAGGTACACCCACAGGTAAAGGCAAACATAATGCTCACGCACACGTACAGCGGAGCACAACCCGCGAAAAGGAGCAGGTCCGTGGAAAGGGGGTTGCCTGCCGGTCGTTCCTCCCACCTTTCGCCCTGTCAACCGGTAGAGGGGCCCCCGATGCGCAAGCGCAAAGACCCGTGGGTCCTTTGCACCGCGTAGCGAGCGGTCGGGGCCCGACTCCGGATTCAAAGTCCGTTTCTGTCGTAGGGGAAGTTGCCGCGGAACGTACTGGTCGTCAGCGTTTCTCTCAGCGGTTCGTGACTTCCGTCCTCCGCGAGTTCACGTTTTGACTCCTTTAATTTCATCTCTCCGCTTCTTTCGTTCTTCGTTCTCCCTCCCCCGTTGTCGACGGTTCGTTCGCGAGTGAAACGTGCGCGCGATTTTGGAATTTCGATACGTTACCAGTGACGAAAGAGAGAAAGAGAGAAAGAGAGAGAGAGAGAGAGAAATTAATCGTGTTTACCGGTGTACACTGTGCCATGGGGATCTAGGAACACCGGTCAGGGTGAGTTGCTAATTGCATCGCCTAAGAGAACTCTTTTCTTTTGATTCTAAAAAGTGCTATATGTAACATTTTATGAGACTAAAATTATGTAACAAACACTTGTCAGAATATTTTGTTTAACGAAGAAAATCTTTTCCATTTTTTTGACTTGTACATAGAAAATTTAAAATAAATGTTAATCTTTTGTTGCATTTATTCAGAGTCGAAAAGACAGCGATTACAATTTGCGATGATAATACAAGCATATACTTGAATGGATATAGAAATGACAGAAGCATTAAGAATATTCGATTTGAGTATATTAATAAAATTTTACGTGCTTTGCATAATATGAATTATTGTTATCTTTATAAATGCAAGATATAAAGAATAAATTTAAATTACATAACATATCCATTCAAGGTATTATAAACTTGCTGATTGCCTAACTGTGGTATCTTTACGACATTATGATAATTGTCCTGAAACATCCGTCCGTCGTTGGTGCCATTTACTTTTTATGAGGAGTAATGAAATGAAATATTAAAAGGTGAATAACATAAAAATTGTCAAAAGTTATTGATTTACACGACGATGTGTAGAAGCTTGGGTTTACGATAATCTTACATCGCGCTTATATCCGAACAACAGTTGTAGAATTTCTTTCAAATTTTTCTTCACGAACATCCGAAGGCGCAACGTTACACCCAATCTAATTATCGCCCGCGGCTAATCGCAGGAACACGATAATTCACGTAATTGCGATCCTGTACGGGACGCGCGCAGCGAGTCTTCGCAACATTTACGTTAATATTTCCGTGGCACGAAAGTGCAACGCGATCCTCCGGCTCGCCGCGGAGGTAGATAGCCCGAGCGGAGCACTGACCGGCGCGGTGCGGTGATTTGAATGCGCGGTGCGGTCGCCAGGCGCTACGATTCATAAACGCTCTCCGTATCTGCTCTCCATACCTGGTAGCAGAAATACGATACACGCGCGATCGTAAACATCGTCGCAATTTGTTGTGCCAGACAGCCAGTTGATATTACACTATATAACCGCCGCTCTCTGTCGCAATATAAATAATGTTCCTGTAATTTTACGGTCTTAATGACATCCTGTGGAGACGAAATTGTCGTCCTTTCGCGGGGGAAGAAGAACACTCGTTTCGCTAATAAAAATCAAATTACGAGAATTAATGTAGGATCCCTTATACTTTTCTTTTGGCTTTTTGGAAAATAGGTCACGATTACGTATATACGCACACAGCTGGTACAATTTTTTCAAGCTGTAAGCCTTATTTTAAGGTTTAATCGAAAACGTATAATTATGTTTAAAGGTCTAATGCATTCGTTTCACCGCTTGCCATATGGCGCGACGTTGTATATGAAATACCTTAGGAAAATTATCGATTAATAGCCGAGTATCGATTACGCGTTGCTCATGGTTTTCGTTTTATAAAGCACCTTCGATTTTACTCTCAGAGTATACTTAAAAAGAAAAAGACTCTCCAGCTATTCCGCGCGTAGGTTACAATCTGCTCGGGTATTTGAAATTGTGATTCCAGGCGTGTCCGAGAAGGGAGCGTTAGGGCGAGCAGACGAATGAACGAACGCGGACGGACGGACGAACGGACGGACGGACGGACGGATGGACGTAGGTACGTACGCGTGTACATGTGCGTGTACATCGTCGGAGATCAAATCACGTTAGCCTAATGCCGGGAACGAACACACGCTCGTACGTGGGTGGTTGTATCCGCGCTGGAATCTCGGCTGCGCTTCAACATCCTGTGGTTCGTCGTACCGCAAAAGGATTCCCGTAGGAATCTCCAATCTCCACGCAGTATTCTCATTAATGCGAGAAGGAATTACAGTTCCTAACCGAGGAGTAAATGAAGAGTAACGCGAGCAATTTTATTAGAGAAACGGCGCAACATATGTCCGCTTGGCATTTAGAAATCTCCCCGTGCCACAATTTTTCTACGCAAAGATATATATATATATATAT